AAACCGAGCGGCTGCGGGCAAGAAAGTCTCTGTATCACCGCGGCTCTGGCTGGGACTACAGCTCCCAGGATTCCCCCGCTGCCGCAGCAAAGCCGTGGAGGGCAGCGGAGCAGCCTGTCGCCCGGAGTGGGTTTCCCTGCGGCATTTAACCCCACCGCCTTCGCATCCCTTCTCCCCAGCGCTGCTGCGGGCAGGCAGGCAACGGCAAGGGGCTGAGGGTGGGGAGAGCGGAGGGTAAATGCAGCACTAATCGCCCCCGGGGACGGGAGACCGCCCTTGCCGAGGGAGAGCACGTATGCAGGTGGGATGCTGTGGTGGCCCTGGCCGCCCCCGCGGAGCCGGGTTTGCATTTCCAGCATCAACCACCGCAGAAGCGGGAGGAGAGCATGAACTCCACAGGAGGCAAAGCCATGTTTTGCTTGAGCATCCCATAGCCACAGCAGGGAGGAAAATGCACGGATGTCCAGCTCTCCGGACAGCACTAGATGACTCAGCACCGTCCCAGATCCCTGGTCCCAGGGAGCAGCACAGGTCCCAGGGCTCACGCCCTACAGTCAGGGCAAGACGGGTCTCTGCCTCCCTATCCCAGGTCCTCACAGCACCCTGTAAATTCCCTAAGGCAAGGTTGGTGCAAACGCCCTTCTCTGCTGCTGGCTGCTCTCCCCGGTGTGGAGTCTGGAAGAGCCTCGAGGAGGCAGGAACCTGGCAGCAGGTTGCAGAGCAAGAGCAGCAGCAGCTGCCATCCCCCTCCAAGGTGAGCCACATCTCCAGAGCAGAGAGGTTTAGCCACTCCTTCCCAAGGACATTTTCATCAGAGCAAGGTCTGCACCGCTCCGCTCGCTCCCTCATTTTCCCCCCTCTGCTCTCTCCATTCCTCCCATCTCCCGACAGACTGTCCAGCCCCACGCTGCGAGTGTCCAGCCCCGGGCTGGAGCAGAGCAGAAATCATTACAAGCAGCGTCTACCCTATCTCCACTCTATCAGCAGTCTCCATCGGGGCAAATTAAGGCAAGGAAGGAAAGAGAACGAGAAGAAAGGCTGAAGAATGCCAGCCCCAGAAGTGGGAAGGGAAGGCGCCATCCCCTCCATGTTCGCAAGGATGGCTCTTCAGAAGAAGACGACAAGAGCAAGCGCAGAGCCCAAAGAAAATCCCGACCTCGCTGCAGCTACGTTTCACCCTCCCTTACCCCAGGGGAAAGCCAGCAGGGCCGAGCCCGGCCCCATTGCGGGAAGGCGGGATGCACCCGCTGGCTTTGGGTACCGGGTAGCACAGAGGCAATGGGAGCAAAGCCCCACGAGGCTCAGACCCGGCCAGCATCTCAGAATGGCTGGTTGTGAACTCAGCTGGGATTTAAGCACCTCCAGGGAGCCGCAGAGCAAGGAGAGATCATTTCTGCTTAGTCACAGCTCTTCCAGGACGCACTCTATAAAGGTTGCATTTTCCATCCTCTCCCTGGCTGTTAAGCTTCATAAACAGTTTATCTTGAAATTAGATGCCAGAGGCAAAGTTACATGAATGCAAAGCGTCTCCCTTGCACCATAAGCAGAGCAAAACCTGCTGGGGCAGACAGAGGTACTGGCTAGCACAGAAGGGAGAGGAAACACGGGAACTACATGATCCCACCACCACCCATCTCTCCAAGGCATCGAACGGGAGCTCAGCCCCGCAATGCCCATGGGCACCGAGCCGGGCACGCTGCCCTCACCACCCTCCTCCCCCCAGCTGCTCGAAGCTCGGGTCGGCTAGAAAGGAAAAGAAGCAGAGAGCAAAGCATGCCGGGATGACTCACAGAGGGCCGTACCAAACTGAGAAAGTCTGCTCGTATCCACCGTCGTAGCCGGGCTCCCAAGAGACGTTGGCTGAGGTCATGGCGGCCACAACGTGCACGCTGGTCGGGGCGTGAGGGCTTGTGCCTGCGAAGAGAGAGGGACGGCTGAAGAGCAAGACCACGCGCTGGCCGGCAAAGGCAAGGGGGCTGGAAGGGGTCTGCTCCCAGCTCTGATTTGAGAGGACTCCCCTTGCACCAAGCAAAGGCCACCTGGAATTCCTGCTAAAAATAGCAGCAGGACAGTGCGTCCACAGGTGGCCAAAATAACAGAGCAGAAAAAGGCAGCACCACTAGTAAATAAGACTTAAAGGAGACACTGCTTTTCACAGGAAGCATCCCCATCTCCTGCCTTGCCGACACGCTGCCTGGGGGACCCTACCCAGGGACCCGCCACCAGCCGTCCCCGGGGACCCGTCCCCTGCCCGTACCTACGACAGTAAGGTGGGTGCTGGCAGTAATGCTTGCGACGACGTTGGTGGCGATGCACTCCCACTCGCCATGGTCATCCTTGCCGAGGGAGCGGATCTGCAGGGTGCCGCCGGGCAGTGTGTTGTGCTTGCTCCTGCTGGGCTTCCCTACCTTGGGCAAGGAGTAGGGGGAGCCGGGCAAAAAGAGAAAAAAAACACGACTCAGAAGCAGGTTGCAGGGCAGGGCGAGGTGGCATCGGGGTCACTAAGCTACCTGCACAGCCCAGGGGACACCGCCGGCCACCAGCAAGGGATCTGGTCTCTCCGGTCGTGGCAAGGTAGCCGGTTCCCCCGTTTTCGAGAGGACCTGGCGGGGCAACGCGAGAGGCATGCGTCAGGGAGGCTGATGCTCAGCACTCACACACAAGCGGAAAACCCCACGGCACTCGCACAGACACCGAGCCCTGAGCCAGGGCTCAACCTCCAGCATCCAAAGCTGAAACCGCTACGAGGAAGGTGCACCGGCCACCCCTGGCAAACACCCTCCCAGGCCAGGGAAGGCACCGCCTGCCCCAGGAGGTGCCCAAACTGCCCCTCAGCCAGCGGCAGAGAGGCAGGACCCTTCATGACAGAGGTTTGGGCAGCCAGGGCCCCACGGGGACACGGGAGGATGGCGTGCGTGGAGGTGCCCGGGAGCTCTCAAGCCAAGCAGAAAGATGGATCTTGTAACAACTCATGTCTACGCCCATCAGCCAAGGTTGTGCAAATCCCACGTTGTCCTGAGTCCTCTTCAGATGTTCTTCACGCAGGGGCCTCTGCCCATCGACACTGGGACCCACGGTTCGATGCCATGCAGGATGAGCAGAGGAACAGACGGGCACGTGCGGTTACCAGTGCAAAGTCCAAGTCTTCAGGAATCCTTCAAGAGACTGGTTAGCGCTGGTGGGCTGACGGGGAGCGAGGGAGCTTGCTTCTGCCACTGGGAAACTGAGCCCAGCCCAAGCCAGCCCCGACTGGAGTCGGGGGGGGATAAGCCCAGAGTCATGACATGAGGAAGACCGCCAGAAGGCACAAGAGGGGTTGAAAAGAAACCTGAATAAGAATGGTGAGGGGTGGGGAGAGAAAAATAAGATGGAGAAAAAGACTAAATAGCCAACAAGTTTTAGGTAGCTCACTTGCAAGCTGTGCAAGTCACGGTCCTCCTTGGGCTGGTAAAAGGAACTCAAAGAGATCCAGCATCTCACACCACAAGGACTGAGGACAGTGCCCACTGGGCGATGCAGGGACCCCACTCACTCTCAGGAGCCCTAAGAAGGGGACGGGAGGCTTGGAAAGAAGATCCTGACAGGGGGGACAAAATGCCCAGGAGGTCCCCTGCACGGTGGCTTTCCTATGGGATCAGTGAAGGTGGGAAGCGAAGGGAAGGCTGGAGGAGGACTAGAAAGCCCTGGTAGCTCCCAGGCTGTGCCACCACGCCAGACCCTACCCTGCTTTACAGAAAGGGACATCCTGAAATCATTATGTCCAGTCCAGCATCATTAAAACAGCTTCTTCCCAGGGTCTTTGAAGTCACCAGGCAGCAAAGCAGCTGCTGACCGGTCCAGCCCCTTGCCAAAATGCAGCCAAGAGACCCCTGGACACGCTCCAGTAGCACGTCCCCTCCCGCCATGGGACGTCCGTGCTGCAAGAACAGCATCACCAGGGCTGCCGCATCCTGCCGGTGACCACCTTGCAGGCAGGCAAGGAGGAGGGTGTCCTGCGGGCAGCGCCAGCAAGGAAGAGGAGGGGGGAGCCAGGGCAGCGCTCAGCTTTGCAGATGCTGCCGTGACAGTTTCACGGGATTAAGGTACTCGGTGGCCACAAACCGGGCTTCCCCCACCCACCTGCGGGACAGGACGGCAGTGGCTCAGCCCAAAGCGAAGCAGCTGTACCTGCAGTTTGTTCTTACCGGGACAGAGTGTGGCTTCTCTGTCTGCAATATTCACCAAAAGCCAAAGGCACTGCAGATTTGTCTGGCAGGCCGGGTACCTTTCTCCAGGCGATGATGGGAAAGGGGTCTCCGGCAGCAGCGCAAGGAATCAACAGCTCCCTCCCTGCCTCCTGTCTGTACTCCCAGCCTGGTAGCACCGTGAAATAGGGGGGGTCCTGCAGCCAAGGGAAAAGGCAAGGAGCGTCAACCCGCGCCGACTCCCACCGTGCGCGAGCGGCTCCCCACAACCAAAACCAGCCCTTTTCCAAAACAAATGAATCACCGGTTTGGGTAAGGTTGAGGCATTTCAAGGAAAGCCGTGGCGGAGTGCGGAGGCTCTATGGTACACCAAATTACACACCCAGAGGGAAGTTTTCTCCAAAGAGCTGCTGCACTAGGGCATCTTGTTTAAGTTTTAAGGAGGTAAACAGGAATAAAACCACCCACATCGCATCAGACATCAACCTGATTTCATCGACTCTGCAGCCATCTTAGCGGATGTTTGTGTCTGTGATACACAAAGCGTTATCATGTGAACCTCAGCAAGACACCATGAATCACCGCCGCTCACAAGCACAGGACTTTTCATTCAGGGAAGGAAGAGGCAGCAGCTCCCATCCCAGCCGCGCTGAGAACCGCATCGGGAGCCCAGCACGCCTCGGGCTCCGCACGCAGCACGAGCATGCAGAACATCTCTAGAGCTCAAATCATCCATTTATTAAAATCCTCCGTGAACCCAAGCCTGGGTCAGCAGGGCTAAGTGTTTTGTTGGCAAAAAGGCCATCCCAGGGACATGTTTCATCAAACTACCCTGGTCCAGCGCTACCAAAGCTTTATACTCATCATACACCGGCTGTGGCCCAGCCTGTGCCAAAACCCATGCCGCCGCTCCGGTGGGGTATTTCCAGCTGCGCCAGGCAGGGTGCACTCAGGGTTTGCCTGTCCTGGTGGGAAGCACACCTCTGCCTGCAGCGTAGACGCACCTTCGCGCTCGAGCCTCTGCTATTCCCCTTCCAGGACGCTTGCAAGGGCCCGCGTTTGCCTCTCTCGGCACAGGTAAGAGACAAGGCTCAGAGCAAGAGGCAATAGGTTTTTGCTAAGCCAAGTCATGCAGGTGGAAAAAGCGGGCAAGTTTGGGGGCACAGAGCCCTTCTTCAGGCCACTTCATAAAGAAGCGCTCAGAAAAGCAATGTAAAACCTCAATTTCTGCACAGAATTAACCACCAAGTAAGCAGCATGGAAAAAATCCTCCTCATGCTCCCCTGCAGCGCTGGGCTGAACAGGAAGGCAGAACGAGTGACACGCACATTGCAAAATCCATAGTAAAAAAGCCTAACTACAGCGTAAGATGCCTCCACAAAGCTCCCACACATACACACCACCTGGCCTGGGACTCCAGCACCCCGCACAACCCCAGGAGCTCTTCTCAGCATGGGACCAGCCCACGGGAGGACACAACCTGCGGCACAAATCTGCCGGCTGCAGAGCAAGGATTTTAGCAGACAAGTTACCTTCAGTACCAGTCGGGCAGGGGGAGACTGGCCCATCGTACCCAGGGCATTATAAGGCACACAGGTGTAAGTGCCGAGAGCATCTTCGGTTGCCTCCTCTATCCGGATTGACCCGTCTTCCAGCAGGTTCCAGCCAGAATACTGTGGCGGTGAGAAAGAGGGAGCTGACTTATCCTACACCCACCACAGCTTACTATTTTCCCTTCAGCCAAGCCCCCCACCTAAGCCCAGGGCGGCTGTCACGTCCCCGGGAGGTGCCCAATTCAATTCCCAGCATCCAAGCCATCTCCTCAACTGCAGAGAGAGGAAACGTGGGCAAGATCAGCCCGTCCAAATGCAGCCCTCCTGGGAAGGGTTGCCCTGCTCTGGACGCACCCAACGACACGCAGGTTTATCTTGCGGCTGCTCTCCGCCATACACACAGGCAGGCTTCTTCAAGTAGCCCAAAAGATTTAACATCAGAATCTATCACACCCTAAGTAAAACTCGTCCTGGTGGCACCAAGGAGACAACTCCACCCGAGGGGCTGAGGGCACCAAAGGCCAGGAACCCACAGCAGCAACAGGTTTAAATGGAATTAAAATTTTGGATCGTTAATATTCAAGCAAAAAATGTAAAATACTGAGCGCTTTCTTTAAATATTTAATGGCTAATATCCTTGCTCAGACTATCAAGACAGAGACTTGTTAAAAGGGTCCTTTAACCACCAGTTGCCATTGGGAAAAAAAACCAGGGCCATCAGGAGGTCACTTTAGAGGGCAGCAGGCATTAGGTCTGGGAGACGCAGACAGCCTGTCTACAGGCGCCCTGGGCTCCACGCACGCAAGAACCCAAATTAACTCTGCCCACAGCTGATAAGGAAAAGCAGTGTCATCCCTCCCACAGGGCTCCCTCTCTCCTGACAGCGGGCAGGGTGCCCAGTGACGCTCACTGGCATTCCCAGAGGACACAAGGGTCCGAACCTCTCCGTGCCCCCGCGCGACCCTCCCTGGGGGCTTCGTTACCTTCTCGATTCGTAGGGGACGTCCGTCTTTGTTCCACTTGACCAGAGTGACCGGGGGCTCTGCCTCGACCGGGCAGCGGATGTATCCGTGTATCCCGATGGGAACGTAGATGACGGGGGGCATGTTCACCACGCGGGCAGGATCTGGGAGAGCAGCACCACCATGTTAGCACAGGGAAGGAGCCCATCTCTCCCCCACCACCTGGCTTCAGAGGATTTACATCGCTTTTGTAATGAATTCCAAACCCAAATACCACCTTGGCTCCCACAGGCTGTTATCTCCAGGCTTGCTACACGCAAATCCACTGTAATACCTGGCACGTCTGGGAGGCTTTACTCATGCCCAGGGTGTTCCTACCTGGGGCTCATTAAAAGCTGCAGTTAAAAAGAAACATTAAATACTCCTGCTCTCACATCCACACCGACTTGCGTCCTGCTGAAGCCCAAGCTGCTCCATCACGCTCAGCCTGCAGGACACATGCATGGCGCACACCCAGCAAGCCACCCGCCTGCCCTGCAGCCTGGTTTTGCACACCAGCGATGAAAACTATTGCATCTCCCGAGCCTTAAAACACACCAACTGCAGCAACCAAGGTGGGAGAAGGGATCCACGGCTGGGCTGCCGTGGGCCCTTTACCTCCTATCTGTTTGTACTCGCAGCTCGTGCCTCATCGAGGCGGGGTCACGTCGAGCATCAGCCACCTCCACCCTTTCCAAGGGGATGCAAAAGCTTAAAATACGTACCTAACCCCCCCCGCGCTGCACCACCCACACAGCGAGGCGTCTCACAATCCTCCAGTCTAGAATGTGTCATTAACAGTGCTTCTAAGAGCTTTTTAATTAAGTGCGAGTGGGTTGGAAAGAATCTAGACTTTCTTTAATAAGAAGCTTTTTAAAAAAAAAGTTACTTTTAATAAGGAGAGCGAGTATTTCTACAATCTTGTCTAGACACTGGCAGCGCGACGTTACGCAAAAATCTTGATGGGGCTTACGCTGCATTAAGGGATGAATGCATTTTTTGGGGGGTGAAGCATCCCTGCGCTGCTGATGCAAAAACGCAAAGCTGGGAATGAAGATAAGGTGTTTAGAAGGAAGGGATGAGGGACAGCGAAAGCCACCAAGTTTGGGCGCTCTGCTCCCTCCCTGCCGAAACACGTAACCCCAACCGCTCCCCAAAACGGCACGCCCCCAGCAACAGCACCGTAACCCAGACTGCCAAGCGCTGCGTATAGAGCAGGCTCTAACCCCCCTCCACTTGACTCCACCTCTTAGGAAATGTAATCAAGGGCTTCGGCAGCATGAGAGAGGGTAATGGGATCGAGCCTTTCACTACTAGGTCACTGGCTGGGGGCCAGCCCGGCTCACTAATGACCCAGAGCCGTGTCCCCATCCGACGGCTGCTTCGGTGGGTGCGTGGGAAGCCTCCGTCCCGAGGCATCAGCCCCGGTACAGATGAGAAGGTTTGCTCCGGAGGAAAGGGGGTTTGCAGCACAAAAAAGCCAAGCACACCTCCTCGCGCCGAAGCCTCACAGGGCCAACTGAATGGCAGATTGTCCAAACGCTGTTTTTCTTGCCATTAGAGCTATTTTTAACAGCTATCAGCCTTGACGAGTGGTCCTGGATTAGCGGTAGGGCAGATTTAATGGCCTGAGGCTGCACGCTTTCCAAAGAGCCGCCCAGCCGGGCGCATCCAAGCCCCGAATCACGCCTCTGCCTGGGCACGGCACCAGTCACACCGTCCCCCTGCCCCTTCATCCATCCCCACAGGGAAACGCTCGGACCTACCAGCCCTTCTCATAGCGGCTCCCCGCTGGCGTGGGGCTTCCCACTAACCAGCACTGGGACTACAGGCAGGAGCTCTAAGGCAGCCTTCAAAACCCAAGTCGCGAGCCCGCTTTGCTCAAGCCTGTCTTTCACTGTAAAATAAAACCGCTGCAGTCTTTTACAGCAGAGCAATATTGCAATTGCGAGCAGCAGCAATTGAGGCCATTACTGTCAAATGCCACAGGACGCGGGTAGCACACCGCCCATTACCACCCGGGGAGCCCGAGAGAACAGGCGTGGGAAGCAACGCTCCTGCTACAGCCCCTTCTCCTCCGCTTGTTTAGATCAGTTACCGCCTGAGAAACATGACACACAAAGCTACTGGGCTCACAGAAAAACCACGCCGCGGGAACAAGCCCCCATAATAAATACCAAAAAAATACAAGCAGGTAGTTGAGACTGAGAACCCTGATCTGGTGTTTCCCTGCCCGACACGAGGCAGCCGATGAGGACAGCGTGCTGGCAGCAGTGGGAAGACGCCCATCTAATCAAAAACCACTGGTATCGAAGGCGGACGCTGGTCCCAGCTGAGCGGTGCCGCTCAGGATGCTCAGGCTATTTGCTTTCTTGTTGCCCACACCCTACAAGCACACGTGGGATGCTCTCAGCCTTTTGCTGAGGATGATTGCATGCTCATCGAAAGGCTGCTGTCACATCAACCCGAGCCTCCTAGCATCACACCAGGACAACAGAGCCTCTGGGACTGCCTCAGAGACTGGTATTATCAATCCCAGCCCCACATCTCAGGATCGGGCCCCGCTGCCCGCACTCACACTGCACCGTCAGGTAGGCAGAGGCTGATGGCGAGCGGCCCAGGCTGTTGCTGGGGATACAGGTGTATTTTCCAGCATCCTCTGGCTTGACACGGAAAATGATCAGCGTCCCATCGATCAGGATCCGCACCCTCAACTTCAGGTCGCTATGAGAGAAGAGGGGAGGAGGATCGCAGGGAGACCCCAGGGGCAATGCCCACCCCGTCAGCGGCCCCAGCACGATTTGGGAGCAGGAGGAGGAGGACGCATCGCCCCGCTGGCTGCAAACTCACTTCTTGAAGTAGACGTTCTCCTCCTCCCAGTACCACAGGTAGGTGAGGTTCCCGGGGTACGCCTCGGCCTGGCAGGTGAAGAGCGCATCCTGGGAGATGTTGACCGTGATGTTCTCCGGAGGGGAAACGATGAAGGGAGGTCCTGGAGGGGGGAGAGAAAAGCGTCACCCCCACCGGTACAGGTGTCCCCACAAAGGTTGCTCAGGCTCAGCTCCGTCACAGCATCGTTGGCTGGGAGCTGCTGGAGGGCTCCGGAGCAGAGCTGGCCCCGGTCCCCCGGGATCACGGGGCGCAGGGGCTGACCTCGAAGAGCACGGTGGCCCTGTTATTGCCAACCCTTTCCCCTAATCTCTGCAGCTTTGGGGAGGGGGCCCTGCACCCATGGCGCATGGCTCTGCTTCTCCCAGGGCACACGAGCTCACGCCTCCCTTCATCCCAAGCACTTTTCCAGGATCACATCACCCGCAGGAAAAATCCAGGGGGAAAACAGCAAACTGCCAGGAGCCGGCAGCGAGCGTCCACAGCAGAGCAGAGGACACCCCACGCTCCTCTCTCTGCTGGTAGCTGTTGACCTAATTAAGGATTTATTTAATAAAAGAGGGAGCGAGGAGCAGGAGGCCTGCCATGCATCACCGCTATCTGACGAAGCGCTTTGTGACAGCCTCAATCCTTTCCCTGCTTCCCAAACAAAACCAAGCCGCCATCGGGGCCCAGCTGTTCATCGGCACAGCCGCTTCAGCACGGCCATCGTGGTGCCCCAATTAAGTGGATTCCTCCATCCTACAAACGGGATGCGGAGCCACGGGGCAGCCGGCACGACGCCAAGCCCCCAAGGTCAGAGGGTCGCTTCGGGGCAGCACCGCGTCCCTGCGGTCCATGGAGTTCCATCCACGGGAGCCCCCTTCCCAGCCCCCCGGGGACGGCAGCAGCTGAGGACAAGCCGGAGAGGCTCGGGTGGAAGATCTCACCTTGAACGAGCAGGCGCGTGGTGTGCACAGCCTCCCCCTGGATGCTGTACGCCCGGCAGGTGTAGGCACCCCTGTCCTCCCGGCTGATGGAGAGCACCGTAAGGCTCCCGTCGCTCACCTGGGGACAACAAGGGAAGACCCTGGAGCACGGGCAGGGGGGGATGCGCCTTAGCCCCGGCTCAGCACCCTCCCTCCCTCCCCGCTTCCCACGGCGGAGAGCTGCCAGCTCTTCTAGGGCCAGATGAGAAACGGCTTTCCCCGCTCTGCAAGACTTCAGATATTAATAAACCAACACACGCGTTTCTGCTCGACGCCAAGGGGAAGGAAAAAAAAATAATAAAATAAATAACCCTCGTAACGTATTCATCTCCCGCAGAAGTGACTGGCAGGCGGCAGACTCCAAACCGCTCCGGCCCAGCGCCCCGGCACCATCAGTGCTTCACAAGGAGCAGGATGCCTCGACAGAGCATCCCCTGCTCCCGAGGGACCAGCTCCACCACCGGGGTAGGGTACGAAGCGCCCCGGCACCATCAGTGCTTCACAAGGAGCAGGATGCCAGCATCCAGCATCCCCTGCTCCCGAGGGACCAGCTCCACCACCGGGGTAGGGTACGAGCCCCGGCTCAGCCGTGTCCTCCCCGTGGGGCCACGTCACAGCCGCGAGACGAGCGGCCAAATCTCCCTGGGGGGACACCCCCCCCCGGGGCCCCCCCCCCCAGCCGCAAGACGAGCGGCCAAATTCCTCCCCGGGGACACAGCTGAGGAAGGACGGGTGAGGGACGATCGCCACCGGGGTAGCAGCTCCTCCATGCACAGGGAGCCCTGCTCCCAGCCAGGCTCCCCCCCCCCACCTCATTCTGCCTCATCCTTCTATTTCAATTAGTAACAAATGATTCCTAATTACTCTCATTAGTGCCTGCGCTGATTCCAATGCCTGATTTACCAATTACAGCTCAGGGGGGAAATCTCTGCCCAGGAGCCTCCGGGATGCAAAAAGGGTCCTGGGAGGGAGGCAAAGCCCTGCCCAAACCTCCCCCTGCCCCAGCCCCGCTGCATCCATCCCCGCCCCGGGACAC